AGAGGTGCTGGAGGCAGAGAGGATGGAGGTAGAGGTGCTGGAGGCAGAGAGGATGGAGGTAGAGGTGCTGGAGGCAGAGATGCTGGAGGAACACAGCATTTGGCCATTTGGCTTGGAACACAGCATTTGGCCATTGAGTGAAGGTAAATGGGAAGGCATCGCTGATTTCTTGTGTTGTTATGAAATATTTCATATGTATAAAGTATATGGAAGATGTAGAAATGGTGCATTGGACACTTAAACATTTGCCATGCAGCTTAATAAACAAAGCGTCACTTATTTTTGGGGCGTCCCCGATTCCCTCTTCATATCTGTGATTCTCCCTTTTGTCTTTGCCTTCCCTTTTCCCCCAGAAGCAACCACTCTCTTTAGTCCCTGTTTACACTCTCTTTGCTGGCATGTGTGCGGTCCAAAGCCACGCACAGTTTTGCATGATTTCGACCTTTGGGCAGTGCAGATCATCATGGATGAATCTCACAGAGTGCTGAGTGAGACTGACAGGCTGCAGAGGCCACATAATGTTGAAAGGCTTTGGACAGGGCAGTGACATTAATCTGCACTTAGAAATATGCTTTCATGCGGGCTGGATAAAGGCTGGACTGCATAAAAACAAGCAGGAATGGATGGTGAAGGTAGTCAGAAGTTGCTGTTCTCTCAAGTGGTAGCTAATGGTTGATGACAGTCGCTCACGTCAAGGCATCAGCAAATTTAGGCATGGCTGCTAAGATGTTCCCTCTTAGTTCTTGGCTCTCTGTCCCTGGGGGGAGGGCAGGCTTTCCCTTGCTTCAAGTCTTCCCCTGCTCCCTCTCCCCAAAGGCTAATATTTTATTTTGCTCAGGTCTCTGCTGGGCAGGTTCTTCCCTGCTCATTGTATTGAGAAGTAACTGGCTGCGCTTGTTAAGTCTTGGTATTCTGCTGTACTTTTCTTCATAGTTTATAGAAAATAACACACTTTTATGTTTATGTGTTTATAGGCATCTTCTCTTACTAAAGTGTGAGGTTCACTGGGGCTCCTCTCGTCTGGCATTCCAACCACTTCAGCTTCATGCCCTTACTTCTAGGTATTAGTGTCTGTTGACAGGATGAGTGAATTGACTTGAGGCTAGTTCATTGGAGCCCAGGTTTCTCTTTGCAGCTATATCTCTAAGTATCTCTCAGGCTGTGAACTGTTTTTAGAACTTGAGGTCATTGCCCATTTGTCCTAGACACTCAGAACATGTAGTTTCATATTATCGTCCTTCCTCCAATCTTCTACTTTATAAATACCATGCTCACTCACAATTGCCTGAAACCTTGGTTTTATCTTTTAGTGTTTCCTAGTCCTAATCCCTGGGTACTGAATCTTCCTATTTATATATTTTTTTCTCTCTTTGAGATAGGGTCTTACTATGCAGCCTAGGCTGGCTTTAAACTCATGAGTACTGCCTCTACCTCTTGAGTACTGGGTTCATAGGCATGTGCTAACCATGCCCAGCCTTGTTTATGTCTTTGGCAGTATCTCTGCCGAAGTCACCGATTCACTTCTGCTTTTTAAGCCTACGAACATTTTAGCCATCCCCATGTTCTGCTGGAGCCTGCTCTCTGAGTATCAAGCCAATTCTTCCACCACAGTACTTGTCTTAGGGTTTCTATTGCTGTGAAGAGACACCATGACCACAGCAACTCTTACAAAGGAAAACATTTAATTGGGGTAGCTTACAGTTTCAGAGGTTTAATCTATTATCATGGCAGGGAGCATAGTGGCATGCAGGCAGACATGGTGCTGGAGAAGGAGCTGCTACATGTTGATATGCAGGCAACAGGAAGTAGACTGGCTCACTGGGTGTGGCTTGAGCATATATGAGACCTTAAAGCCCGCCTCCACAGTGACACACTTCCTCCAACAAGACCACACCCACTCCAACAAGGCCACACCTCCCATTAGTGCCACTCCCTTTGGGGGTCATGTTCTTTCAAACCACCACAGTACTCCTTTTGTACTTAGGTCTGTTTTGAATTTAAATTTCATTGAATTGAATTTTTTGCATATGTGGGTGTGCATCTGTGTATGAGTTCATGTCAGAGTTGGTACACTTGCACTTAGAGGCCAGTGGACGATCTCTGGTGTCACTGTCTTCCTTACTTTGGGGTTGTTTGTTTTCCCCTCTGGCGTGGACATTGGCAGTGGACGCGGTGGACTAGTGTGAGTGTGAAGCACTCAGGATGTTCTGTTAATACAGTTTGTTTGTCTGGGAAAACAAAACGAAAGCTGGGCAATGATTGTGAATGGCTTTAACCCCAGCATGCCGGAGGCAGAGGAAGGCTGATCTCTTAAGTTCCAGGCCAACCTGGTCTACAGAGTGAGTTCCAGGACAGCCAGCTACCTGGAGAAACCCTATCTCAAAAAGTAAGCAAAACAAAAACCCAAAAGACAAAGCGAAGCACTTTGTTTGTTTAGTATTCGAGACATTGTCTCATTATGTAGCCTTGGCTGACCTTGAACTTACTATATATCCACTCATTTACCCGCACCAATTTTACTGACCTATAGTTAACAAATAAATATAATTTATATTTAATGCAAACAGCAGTGTTTTTAGGTAAGGCATACTTACCTAACCACTGAGTATGCCCTGAGTTATGATTCCTACAATAAAGTTAATTAAATTAATCATCACTTAACATAGTGACCATTTTATGTGTGTATGGAGAGAACATTTAAGATCAATTTCCTTAGCATCTCTTAGGCATATGCTATGATTAACTGTTGTTAATATGCTGTGCCTTGTATTGCTAGAATGTATTGATTTTGTAACTGAAAGTTTACCTTTTGGCCAAAGTCACTTCTACCTCTATGCCCCCTAGCCGATAACTACCACTGTTCTAAGTTTGACTTATTCGGATTCCATGTCTTAGCCACTGTTCTATTACTGTGAAGAAACACCATGACCAAGACAACCCTTACAAAAGAAAGCTTGTGGTTTCCGAGGTTTAGTCCATTGTCATCATGGCGGGGAGCATGGCGGCATGCAGGCTGGCACTGGAGCAGTAGCTGAGAGCTCCATTGTGGTCCTTGGGAGGGAGAGACTGGGCCTAGTGTGGGCCTTTGAAACCTCAAAACCCACCCCTAGTGACACTCTTCTTCCAACAAGGCCACACTTCTAATCCTCTAATCCTGTCAAACAGTTCCACTGCCTGGCAAATAAGTGTTCAAATATATGAGCCTATGGGGGGGCCGTTCTTATTCAGACCCCCACAATGTCTTAAATGACAAAACATCAAAATTTAAAATAAAGTCCAGATCAGTATTACTGATGTTTCCCCCGCAGCCACTTCACAACAAACCCCAAACACTGATATTTGCAACTCATATGTAGGAGGTAGAGTTTTAAGACGCAAAATAGCCTGCTGGCTAGTAATAATGATAAGCTCAGGTGTGTGTCTGGACTACTCTCATAAAGGATAATTAGGCACATATGTCATTGAATGCAAGTTACAGTAGCGATGTGTATATAATTTATTGTAGATAGTGATAGAATGAAAACTGTAAGTTTTCCGATGCCTTATTTGAACTAGTTCACTGAGATGCAGGAGTGTGCATGGGAGTAACACAGCTGAATCACCAAAGCTGCCTGCCAGGGGGTCGAAAGGCCTGCTGGCTCCTATGAACATTTGTTCTGAGGAAGGCCAGGGGGGGAGAGTAATTGAGTTAATGCTTTCTGATGAACACTGGGGAAGCAAGCTGACTTTCTTTTTTTTTTCCAAGACAGGGTTTCTCTGTGTAACCCTAGCTGTCTTTGAACTCACTCTGTAGACCAGGCTGACCATGAACTCACAGAGATCCACCTGCCTCTGCCTCCTGAGTGCTGGGATTAAAGCCCGGCTTTAAGATGGCTTTCTTATCTGCTTTGACATTTCTTTGTAATGATCAGTTGGTGGATTTAAAGTGTGTACAGCTTGTCTCGGTGAAGGAGGTTTGGAAACTGTAGACTTCTATTAAGGCAGAGTGGAATCAACCTCCAAGGAGTGAGCATGGGAGAATGGACGGGATCACCTTCCTGGTTTTCAGACACCATGTAGAAATGGGAAGCACTTAATATTTTAATACAGTGAGTTGCAGGTTGACACTGTTATAAAGTGCTAAAGTACAACATTTAACTTGATGCTGTTTTGCTTTCTAAACATTAGGAATTTTTGTTTTTTTAGGTGTATAGTGTTGACTGGAGCCAAACCAGAGGTGAACAGCTTGTGGTGTCTGGCTCCTGGGATCAGACTGTCAAAGTGGTATGTCACCAATACTGCATTTAAAAACAATTAGTTCCCTCCCAAGCTCCCACTGAAATATTTTATTTTCTAAAATATTCTGTAGCTTTAAATGTGATCTATTGATTTTCTTTTCAAAAGTATATATTAAAATGTTTATCAAAATTTAAAAAAATGTCGTCTTGGCTACAACCTAATAATTAGCTTAATGGTGATTATTTTAGTCCCCTAGAGACAATCTTATTTTATGGAAAAATAAATGCTAAAAATCTTTGAAACATGTATCTTACATGTGTCTATAAATGTGTGTGTTATTCATGTCATACTTACACATATTGTGCTGTCTAGTCTCTATAAGAGTGTACATTCGTGTTTACCTGTCTTGAGTAACGATCTGCTTGTTTATTCTCAGTGGGACCCAACTGTTGGAAGTTCCCTGTGTACCTTCACGGGGCACGAGAGTGTCATTTACAGCACCATCTGGTCTCCCCACATCCCAGGCTGCTTTGCCTCAGCCTCAGGTAACTAATTCTCATTTCCCAGAAGCCTTATGGATGGGCTACTGTTTTACCATTAGGTGGCGCTGTGTCCCCTCGATTCAGAGAAAATGAGAGCGTGGCCCATTTCGTAGCCTTAGGATATTTGATTTTTTTTTTCTTCCAGAGTTTGGACATGCTGAGCATGTACTGAGCTACATCTACAGCCCTTAGGACCTTTCTTCTGTCTGTCTGTCAGTCTTCTTCCTTCCTTCCTTTGGCAAAAATTAGCAGAGAGCTGAGTCCCAGCTTGTGTTTCAATGAATATAGCCCTTTTACAATAAATGTTCAGGTTCTTTTGTGTGGACAGATTTGTGGTTTATAATGCCACAACAGATTTTAAAATACATTTGAAAGAGGAGGTTTGCCTTTGTTTTCGTTTTGTTTCAGAACACTATTAATCTATGAGACACGAGTGGGCTTTTTAACAATAGTTCGAGTTTGGATCTGAGATACGTGTCTTGGTGAATGAAATTGTGTCTTTGGCTCACAGTTGGTTAACTAAAGCCATTTCAGTTAACCAGAGCACCCAGGGAAGATAGAAGAGAGACAGGTGGGCACGCTACAGCCCTCAGAGCCAAATGACTCACAAGCAGGATTTGTAAATAAAGTTTTATTGGAACATAGCCACATCAATTCATTTGTGTATCGTCTGTGGCTGCTTCCACACAGTCCTAGCAAATAAAGTAGTTGTTACAAAGACCTAGTAGCTCCCAAAGCCAAAATATTTGCTTCTGGCCTTTTATAGGAAATATGTGATGACCCCTGGAGCCTTGGGGGGGGGGGAGAATTAGAAGCTCTTCTGCACAGTGAGTTGTTAGAGGAGAGAAAGCAGTAGCTAGAGAAGGACGGGAGGAGCTTCCAATGTTGACTATTTAGTAACCCAGCCAAAGTCAGGCCGCAACCAGCACAGCTCGTGTCCCTTTCCTGCCAGTACATGGTATCAGTGTCCTGAGCTGCTGAGTTATGATGTGGCTTTCATAGAAGTAAAATCCACAGCCATCCTTTGTTCCTTTCTTACATTGTAATTCTAAAAATTAAGAAATAACCACATTCCCTAAATCCTTGGATTGTTGTTCAGTTGAAGATAAATAAAAGCCTTTAGGTAATTTTGTCCATTTAAATTATGTAATTTTTGAGATTCTAATAGTAAGTAATCATAATATCTTTTTTTTTGTTGTTGTTGTTTGTTTTTTGTTTTTGTCTTTTTCAAGGCTTTTACAGGCTTTCTCTGTATATCCTTGGCTGTCCTGGAACTCACTCTGTAGACCAGACTGACCTCAAAGTCAGAGGTCGGCCTACCTGCCTCTGCCTCCTGAGTGAGTACTGGGATTAAAGGTGTGCACCACCATTACCCAGCTGAAATGATATCTATGTGTGAAAGTATCATTAATTTAAGAAATGCTTTATTCCTTGACAAGAATTACCAGTAATCTTTTCTGAAGCAAAGAACAGCTTATAGAATGAGTCAGCTTATAGAATGAGTATTATTATCTCTAAAATTTCTGAGCTTAAATCCTAGCTTTCTTGAAAATCTGTTATTGGAATGAAATCTTTTCCAAAATATCAAGTCTTTTGGAATGTGCCTAGTGATACACTTTTTCTAGTTCCATTTTCTTTTCTCTTTTGAAGATATAGTGTAATCTGACTGTCCTTTGGGCCTCCAGCTCACAAATAATGATACTTATGATTAATTTTGAAAGCTCAGTCTTAGCTTAGGCTTGTACTTCTAGCTCTTATAACTTAAATTAACCCATATTTTTATTAATGTAGTTCTATCACGTAGCTTTTACCTCTCTCCCATTTTGTGTGTCCAACTTGTTCCACTTCTCGATGGTGTCTCCTACCTCCTCTTTCTCTGCCCAGAAGTCCCATCTATACCTTCTGCCTAGCTATTGGCCACACAGTGTACAGATATCCCACAACATTTACCCCCTTTTGTCTAAATAAAAAGGAAAGGTTTTAACTTCAACAGAGTAAAACTATATACAATAAGAACAATTATCAAGTAAGAAATACCTTCACAATGCCCAGTTCAGTAGTATTTGGCAAGTTCAAAGAAAACACTATTGTCTAGACTATGATGGTGAGTTCAAAGTTTTGTGCCTGATTTACTTTCTATCAAAACTACGGAAAACTGTAGCTATAACTACCTAATCTTCAACCCCATCAGAGACCTGAGAAGGTTATAATATTACCTGATTGAACAGGAAGTGCAAAGCAAACAACCTCCAAAACTAAGAAATGACAGAGACAGCTGGCTGCCTGGACAGTCACCCAAGGTTCCTCTTCAATGTTGGGGCATCCATCTTTGGCCTCCAGGCCTAGAATATCTGACAGACTTTTCTGTGAAGCAGGAATTTTGAAGGACTATTCTACCTTGTCTTGGCAAAGTTTGGCTGTTACCCTTTTTTGTGTGTCCTGCTTGTCCAGTTTGACAGCATTCTGTCAGCAGTTGAGGCAAGAGCAGTTTCTTTGCCCACTGGCTAACTTTGTCACAAATGCAAGCAAACCTCCATATGGAGGTTTTTTGATGCTCATCCTTTTTTTGAAGTAAATTGGCACTACCAGACGCAAATGTGTCTCACTGTCATAAAAAAGCTTTATGTTATTACAACATTTTAAATGCCATATCCTGTAGGTCTTTGAAATGTGTGAAGACCATCTATCTACTTAAAATATATCTGTTTGACCTTTAAAACATACTTAACATGACTGTAAGTCTGATTGTTATAGATGACTAACTACTAACCTGTATTTCTTTATTATTCTAAATATCTTTTAAGGACTAGAAATTTACATTACACTGTAAATGAAGAGCATAGGTACAATACCTTAAACAAGAGTAGAAACATATATACAGTGTAACAAAAATAACCTTGAATTCGTATCAATATACAAAAATCCATATTAATGTTAAATATTTGAGACTAGTAGTTGCTTTTTAGTTTAAAAGTAGACACAACACCTACCCTTTTTTATCCCATTTCTATACTGTGTTTCACCATTTTCCCTTCAGAAAGAGATCCTTGAATCTAATCTCCTTTGTTCAGCCTTTTTCCTGATCATGACCAATAACAACTTATAACCAACCCCCTAAACAATGACAAACATCCATAACCCACCCAATGATCAAAACAATCCACCCCACCTCTTGGGAATGTGGGCGTCATGTTCTCTATATGACTTCCTGTTGTCTGGGAATGACAGCATCTTTAGGGAACCTTGAGAAAATTGGGATAATGGTCAAGTCCTGGGAGAAGTAGCTGTATTGTTTTTTGGTTAGTCTTTGTGTGATGGGAAAGTGTAGAGGTTATTTGAAGTCTTGGCTGGAGTAGTCTGTGAGGCTGAACCATTTCAGCTAGCAGCTTTGAAGTTGTTCTGGATACAACAGAGGCATTCTGAGAGGCTGAATTGCCTGGGCTACTTGTCTTTATCAGTGTTTGGTACTTTTTTTTTCTTGGAAAACACATAAACTTTTAAAGGTAACATATATGTCTGCATTAAAGGTAACACATATGTCTGCATTAACACAAGTATGGAATGTGTAGTGTGCACAAGTCAGCTAAAGGTGATTTTCTGTTTTCTGTTTGAGCAGGTAAAAGGCATCTGTTAACTTTCTGTTTGTTTGGACTGTGTAACCAAACATCTCTCCATGCTATATGAAGGGATGACATGTAATAATAAGTCATGAGGATTCTGTCCCAACAAGACTCACCATGTCTCATCCAGTCTCAGAGCTGTTCCCATAGTAGGATCAGTACATATGTCACCAGTCTGTTCAGTTTCCTTTTTCATGTCTGTAGTCAAGATTTTTAGGAGGTCTCCTCCAGTCAAATATGATCTTCATTAATTTTGAAGAGAGCCATAACTTTTTGTTTCCTATGGAAACAAAGGCATAACCCCTTCCCCAACGCAACATATTTTTTGACTTCCAATTTGAAGTTAAGACATTCTTAAAATATATAGGTTGGTTTAATTCAGCAATTTCCATAATCCAGTGTTTCTCAGCAGCTGTTGATTTTTTTTTTTAAAACAGCTCTTAAAAAAAAAAAAAGATTTATTTATTTATTATATACAGTGTTCTGCCTGTATGTGTGTCTGTCCACCAGAAGAGGGCACCAGATCTCATTACAGATGGTTGTGAGCCACCATGTGGATGCAGGATCCCTAGTGTTCTTCACCTCTCCAACCTGGCTGTTGATTTTTGCATATTAGCATTTAAAAAATTCAAAGTCAACAAAACACCATACAGGATCCAGCCACTCTATGTATTTTTCATCTTTCTGTGGCTTATTTTTTTATATTACTTTATTCTTTCTTTAAAGATTTTATTATTTTTAAACTGTTTTTTCTATGACTGTCTATACTCATTTTCCTTTCTTTCTTTAGCGTCTAAACACATTTTTCAAAATACTGTACCCTTTTAGAGGTTTTCTGTGTCTGGACCTGGCTTTACTAAGCGCCTGCACTGTTCTCTGACCACCTGAGATAAATCTTAACTGCCATGTCAGCGTGTGACTCAGCTTAGTGAATGGTACATGGTGCTAGCTGCTAGCTCCAGCCCGCAGGCAGCAGCCAGTTGTTGCACATCTGTATGCTGAGCACTTTGCCCACCTGAGAGACTGCAGGATTAGGAAGCTATGTCTGGCTCCTTGTCCAGAACTTTTCTTAACTTTCTCAGGCTCTATATTTGGATATTCAAGCCTCTACATTGAACGCCATTTGTAACCGGATTTTTCTTTGGGCCACCAGCCAGCTCCCAAATAATGACATGGCGACTTCTTATTAATTATGAAATTTTGGCCATTAGCTTAGACTTATCCCACTAGCTCTTATAACTTAAATCAACCCATTTATATTAATGTATGTTCTGTCATATGGCGTTACCTCTCTTTCATCTTGTAACTCCTATTTTCTTTCCATGTCTCTACGTCTCCACCTTTCTCCTCTCTCTGCCCAGAAGTCCCACCTATACCTCTGCC